GGGACAGGTTTGCCTTGATGGACCTAAAGGACGCATATTTTCATATTTCTATCCACCCTGACTACAGCCACTTTCTTTGTTCCATATTGGGACCAATATGAATTCTGTGTACTCCCCTTTGGCCTAGCTACCGCCCTGAGAGTGTTCACAAAATGTATGGTGGTAATCTGTGCACATCTTTGGGGTTCGAAGGATTAGGATATATAACCTGGACAATTGGTTATTGACCGCTTCATCCAAATCAGACTCTATCCATATTACTTGCTCTGCTACCGGAGCTAGGTCTGTGTATTAATAATGAAAAATCCATACTTTCTCCCTCCCAGTTTATGCTCTACATTGGTGAGAGACCAGATTCTATGACTTCCCAGGCATACCTCCCACAGGACAGAGCAGTGACTTTATGTGGACTGACTTTGTATCTCCAGATGGAAACAAGGTCAACAGCACTGCAGATACAGCAACTCTTGGGGCTGATGGCAGCTACCAATTCGGTTGTACAGCATGCTCACCTTCAAATGTGACCACTCCAGCTGTGGTTTCTATGAGCCAACAGAGACTCCAAATGGAAGCACTTGGTGCTCCTACACTCAGTCCAGTCTCACCTGGCGGACTATGCAACAAAACCTTTTTAATAGGGTACCCTTCTCCCCCAAATCACTAGTCCTGACTGTAATGACAGATGCTTCTCCTTGGGGATGGGGAGCTCATTGTGCTGTCAAAGAAACTCACAGACTATTGGACAGTCAAGAACACACCAGCTCCTCTCAGTGCAGAAAGCACTACCATCTTTCCAACAACTGATCAGCTACTGCCACATTCAGATAACGTCAGACAATACCACAGTGGTGTATTATTTAAACAAACAGGGTGGGACTCACTCTATTCCATTAACCCAACTGGCTACACAGATATAGGATTGGTGCTTAGAATGCTATATAACCTTTGTAGCAGTCTTTCTGGCAGGGATCACAACAGTTTGACCAACAGCTTAAGCAGAAGGATGGACCCAACACACAAATGAGAGTTGCATCCACACACACTGAACCAGCTCTTTACAACATGGGGGACTCCATCACTGACCTTTTTCTCCTGTCCAACTGGAACTACAAAAAGCTACTGTTGAGGATGGACATAATATCTCAGGACAGAGGCCAAGTCGTCCACCCTGACATCAAGACCTTATGACTAACAGCATGGCGGATCATTGGATAGGTGCAAAGGCTTAAAATCCAACAAATCCTTGACGCTGTGCTCAAACCAAATACCAGCTGGGCTTATGAAACAAAATGGAGGAAATTTGAGCAGTTCTCAGTACATCACTAGTTCAACCCTAACACATCCTTTATCCATCATTTCCTTACCTTCCTGCATGACCTCCACATCAAAGGCTTAAAACTGTCTTCTATTAGGATATACTTAACAGCAATGTCCTCCTTCCATGGAATGGTCAAAGGACACTCAGTATCACACTTCCAACCAATAACCTGTGTTGGGATGGAGGTTATCAGTAGTTCTGAAAGCCCTAGCAAAGCCACCATTCAAACCCTTGGCCACTATTGACATTCATCTTGTCTCCTCGAAAGTGACGTTTTTTGTGGCATGCAGAGCTAGTGAACTATGCTGCTTTCTGAATTGACCTTCCAAAAGGATAAAGCAGTGCTCCAACTTTACCACTCTTTCCTTCCAAAGGCACTTTCTGCCTTCCACTTGAATCTGGACATAACTCTACCAGCTTTCTTCCCAATACCATCCAGACTGATAGAAACAGCACTACACACATTGGATGTTTGCAGAGCCTTAACTTTCAACCACTTGCGCAAAGAACCGATCCGCAAAACCGACAGATCCATGTTTCATACACAGAAAAATCAAAAGGAAATCCAATGACACCACAAAGGCTAGCCCACTGAATAGTGGAAACCATCAAGCTAGTGTTACAAATAGCCAGACTGGAACTCCCATAACAACTTAAAGCCCACTCAACCAGAGCAGTGGCAATATCTACAGCACTACATGCTGGCATCCTGATGGAGAACTTACGCAGAGCAGCACCATGGTCCAGTCCATCGACATTTGTCCAGCATTACCAACTTGGTCTGAGTGAGACAGGAATGCTCGATGGGTGATTTTGTCAGCAATCCTTCAATGAGGACACCACCCCACCACCATTCCAAGGTAAGCTTGCCAATTGCCCGTATAGGTAATACACAGAGACCGTGAAGAAGAAAGTAAGGTTGCTTACCTGTAACCAATGTTCTTTGAGTGGTCATCTATGCATTCATACAATCCATCCAATTGGCCCTTCCTGAGTGTCAAATACAAACCAAAACCTTTACCTTAACATCCATGATCTAGTTTCAAGGCCCAGCCGATAGTCTCACAAGAACTGGAGAAAATGGCAAGAGACCCGCCATTATATAGCATTTGGGGACAGGGGCAGCACTTCTGCCAAAGTACTTAGGGAATATCTCTCTATCCAACAACAAGCCCTGCACAGGGGCAGAGCCCATATGTATGAATGCACAGGTGATGACTCAAAGAATGTTGGTCACAGGTAAGCAACCTCACTTTCTTTCGCCAGCTCTTTTATGACTAGGGTGGAGTTCATTGGACCCTGGAGATTTGAACTCATTCAACCCAATTAGATGAGCCTATCAGTCCTGAACTGCCACACTGCTTCTTCACCTTGTAATTTCCCCTTCATCAGGAAGGTCATAAATCTTATGAGCCAAAATAAGAATTGAGCACTTCTGCCTTTTCTTGGTCATCTGTTATCTTTTTGTTATCTGTATATGTCTTTTACTTTGGACATACCTGCATTAGATATGCTTTTTGTTGCTTTTAGCATTCCTTGCTAGCCTCAGTTCATTCCTAGCTTTAGCCTTCCTGATGGCTTCCCTGCAATTCTGTGCTACCTACCTGTATTTTTCCTTTGTAACCTGGTCATCTTTGCATTTCCTATACATGCCCTTTTCTGTTTTCTTCTGCCCATATTATTTTTTTCTACATGACCTTTATTTTCATTTATGGAGACAGCTTGGTTGCATCCATATCGCCTAAGACAAGGTCATGTTACACAAGATTTACACTACAGCATTCTGTGATGAAATACAGTATATATCTTGTCTCAAAGGACCTGATTTCATGGATTACTAACAATTAATAAGTGTGAAATATCTTGTTGTATCCTGACATTTAATCTTTAATCTCCATTACATGTGCGGGGGTGGGGAGGAGAAATACAGTTTGATAAGATGATCTTTTTTGAGAGTATAATTTTATCCACAAACTAGTGAAGTTGGAGCCCTTGAATGTAAGCTGATTTTAGGCTTAAATCCAAGTTTTCTGACCTAGATGGTGGGTTGTTCTGTGGCCATGTTCATTTTAAACCACAGCTTTCAAAAGGGAATTAGAAGAAAAATCCAATAGAAAAAAATGACCATTCAGCTACTTGGAATTTTAGCATCTTAACAGGGAATTCATATTCCCTTTCTCATGGTGGGAGGATAAGTGAAAGGCTGTGAAGAATTTTAATAAGCAGAAGGTCTGAAGGCCATGCAGTTCCCCAGAAGCTGAAAGGAATCTGATCCTTTAAACAGTGCATACCCACAGAAGGCTTCTGTATTTCTCTAACCGATGCAATGCTTCAGGGGACCTGCAGACTCTGATGAGCCAAGGAATTTATTTTATTCTTATGTTTACAGTTCAGAATTTTAAAAAATTGATCTAACATTGCTACATTTTAATGAAGACCACCACTGATTTTTTTAAAAGACTAATTTCTATGTGTTGTTGCTATTTGGTCATAGGGGTACTCTTGCATTTTCATAAAGAAAATGTTTTAGCAAAGATTGAATTTTGAAGCAAAATAAATGCAATTAGTATTTTACCTTTCATATGTCCGGATAGAACTGGATAGAAAGAGTACAAAGAATGTTGAAAAGCTGGATGCTTGAAGAGAGAGGTTCCAAGGAATGCAGGATAAATTGCAGAACACATTTTAAGTGTTACTGCCTTCTGGACATTGTTGCCAAATGGATACTAAGTCATAGGTCATTTTAACATCCAGTCATGGTCCCCTCTCAGTGGGAATTTTCATAAAGTTAATTGTACGTGGCTCTTCTTCCTAATTCCCGGCCTAGCACATGTTTGGAAAGTACACAATAATACAATTTGGCTATCAGAAGCATCTGGAAAATCCCATTAAAATATCTCCCAGCTTACTTGACTTGTGTTTGTCCATTTTCGTTACAGTGGGCTGGGGATTCTTACCTATGTTAGAGATGGAATGCAATGCTTTTTCTTCCAATTAATAACAAAAACATGAAATATGATAGTGTGAGAGTTATATTACTGAAATTCAAAATGAAAATAGTATCTTCAACATTTGTTTAATAGCTGCTTTCATGCTGTTAAGCATATGGAAGACACAAACTGTGGTAGAAGGTAAAGCATTTAAATTGTTGGCCAGCCCTAGCCAAGAGATACGTATTTAACTCGTAGTTTTCAAGAAAATTGGTAAATTGGTTCATGTCTTTCCTATCTATGTTCATGTTTTCTTGATAAAATTAGAAAGAAATGGGCAAAAAGGCTTTACGCACACGTGTACTGTATCACATTATATTATAAAGTCATTCTCTTTTTTCTAGTGACTCATAAGATTTTATATTGATAGACAGAATAAGCAGAGTTTACCAACATGTGTTCTAAGCCAAGATGTATAAATTTTCCTCTTAGTTTTTTTCTAGCCAATTAACATTGTTCTTGGATTTTGAGAGGAATTAACTGAGATGAAAGCTTACTTCAACAATCTGATGAAAGTCAGGTTAATTTGTTGTAATTGGTGAGCCTAAGAACAGACCAACTTGTTGCTGTTTCAAAACATACAGTGTGCATTTCACTTGACACTTCTGTGACCATCATTAAATGTGAAATGTTTTGGATATTTTCTTGATAATATTTTGCTCAAGACCTGTCCGTGCTTTTTATTGTTGTAGTTCACAAGTGTCTTCTGGCCATTCTGTTGCTGTCATGGGTATTGATTTTACTTTACGATACTTCTACAAGGTACTAATGGACCTGTTACCAGTTTGTAACCAAGATGGAGGCAATAAAATAAGGTATGTATGTGTCTGTTGAATATTTGTTTTAATCTGATTACATTTAAGAATTCTGCTCCTTATATTTCCCCCTTCTGTCCTCTATTTGGATTTAGATTACATTACAACTTAGTTTCATTATCATTGTCAAGTCTGGAGAGAATTTAATTTTGAGGAAATTTTAATTTTTGCATTACTAAAAGTAATTGTTTTAATCTGTATTGGCAAGAATAATCAGATCATAGAATAGTAGAGTTGGAAGGGGCCATGAAGGCCATCAGGTCCAACCCCCTGCTGTTGCAGGACACCAAGTTACACCATTCCATTCAGATGGTCATCCAGTTTCCTTCTGAATGTCTCTAGTGTGAGAGAGCCCACCACCTCTCTAGGCAGCTGGTTCAACTGTCATATTGCTCTGACATTGAGGAAGCTTTCCCTGATAGAATGGTGTGCATTTTAGAGGTTAACTGGTTTACAGTGACATGATATTTTGTAAAAACAAGTTGCTAACACGTATATAAAATGTTTACTGGTTTTTATAATAACACGTTTAGTAGGTATGCAGAATTTGAGCGTACCTTCACCAGCATGAGCTAAAGCATAGGAATGCATTTGGAGAGCCAAATGTATCAATAGACAGAATTTGGTAGTGTTACATTAAACTACCTGTAATTCTTATCCATATCTCAAGAAACACTCTTTTGTTGGCATGGCTGTAATACTGTTTTACGAATTACAAAAAAATCACTTATGGTACAATTTTTTACAAAGTTATGTGGGGTGCTGTATCTTACCTCCAGTATTAGAGGCAGTATATCACTGAATACTGAAGAACATAAGCAGGAGGGTGCTATTGCACCCATGTCCTTTGGGCTTCCCATAAGCTGGGAACTGTGACTGGCTACTGTGTGAATAGAATGCTGAATAAGATAGGCCTTTGACCTGATCCAGCAGCACTCTTTATAGGTTCTTAGGCAGTAATGGAGCATATGAGGCTACAAGTACTCTGCGTAAAGTAAAGAAGAAACAAAGGTGCATAGGCTATTGAATTTTTCACCTAGCACCAAATTTTGATTCCCCCTCCTCCCTTAGGTGCTTGTACAAAATTCCATACAATAGTCCCTGAGGGTACATATACAGCTATTCTGACCTAAATTTTATTTTATCATTTTCCCTTGGACAGGTGCTTCATAATGGAGGACAAAGGATATCTTGTGGCACACCCAACTCTCATTGATCCCAAAGGCCATGCTCCAGTAGAGCAGCAACATATTACACACAAGGTTTGGCTAAGTCATTGTGCATTTTTATAGAAAGCTATAGATTGTGTTTGCATGATATGACCAAGTGTAGGAAATTAACCATAGTGGGTTATCATGTCATACTAATCCAGGCTGCTTGCCATAGGGGCAAGTTAGTGTTAGTGGGCTGCAAACCACCCAGCCCAACCCATCGTTTGTTTTACATGTTGTTTACCATGTAGTCTAAACCTGGACAACTGAACCCATCATATAAGAAAGTGCTGTGGGTGCTGCTTGGAAAGAGTAGCAAAAAAACTCTTGTGACTCTTGTTGAGCTTGCCTGGACCGCTGTCAGAGACAGCTGCTCCAGCATCTGCTGTGACCCATTTTGCAGTCACTGTGTTCTTGTTGTTCATTTTATCCTCCTCCTCCTCCTCCTCCTCCATGGTCTCTGTGCAATCACACACATGGACTTTGCTGTGGAGCACAAGGTCTCAATCGGGGGGAAACTTAAAAAGCGTGGCGTCATGAAGTGGGCAGGAGCCCACCCCTACTAAGGTAGAATAAAAGGCCCCACCGAGGTAGAATAAAAGGGGGGGTCCCTCCCACCCAGTCCCTCAGTTTTTAATTCAACCATGCTTTGAGTCACTTCACTGATCAGATCTTCCACTCAATCCTTGCCTGTTCTCCATCTTCTCTATCTTCATCTCTCCTCTCTCTGTATATAAAAGAATTGTAAACATAGAAACAGAGTGAGTCAGAAGGGGTCTCCGGGCCATCTAGTCTGACCTCCGGCACCAGCCGGCTCCACTCACGACATGCCCACCATGTGGACGTCCAGCCTATCCTTGAACACCCGCACCGATGGGGACTCAGCGACCTCTTGTGGAAGGCCATTCCACACCCTTGGGGTCCTGACTGTCAGGAAGTGCTTCCTGGCATCCAAATGGAACCTTGGCTGCCTGAGCTTTGCTCTGTTGGAGCGAGTCCTGTCTTCCTCTGCAGGGGAGAACAGGTCTCTACCCATCTCCATGTGACATCCTCTCACATACCTGTATGTCGCCAATATATCCCCTCTGAGTCTCCTCTTCTCCAGGCAGAAGAGACCTCAGTCTCGCCTCATACGGCATCCCCTGCAAACTGGCCACCAACCTTGTGGCCCTACGCTGCACTGACTCCAGCCTGGCTATATCCTTTCTGTAATGAGGGGCCCAAAACTGAGCACAATACTCCAGTTGTGTAGAGTGGTAGTAATACCTCTCTTGATCTAGAAGCCACACTTCTGGCTATGCAACCAAGGGTGGTGTTGGCCCTCTTGACCACTGCATCACACTGCTGACTCATATTTAGCCTGCAGTCAACCAGTACCCCGAGGTCCCTTTCACAAGTGCTGCTCTCCAGCCACTTGTCCCCTAACCTGTACTTATGACAGCTATTCCTATGCCCCAAGTGCAAGACCTTGCACTTATCCACATTGAACGCCATCCTGTTGTCTCCTGCCCACTTCCATAGTCTGCTCAGATCCTTTTGGATCTGGAGTGCCTGCTCCTCAGTTGTGGCCACTGCTCCAGTTTTAGTGTCGTCTGCTAATTTGATCAGCAGACTGTTCACCCCTTCTTCCATGTCATTAATTAAAAGATTAAACAGGATTGGCCCCAGGACAGAGCCCCGGGGGACCCCGCTTGTCACTGGCCGCCATCCCGATTCCCCACTAATGGTTACCTTCTGCTTTCGGTCAGTCAACCATGCCCTAATCCATCGGACAGTGCTTTGGTGTATCCCAAAACTCCTCAGTTTCCCCACCAGGATAGCATGGGACACTTTGTCAAAGGCCTTGCTGAAATCCAGGTATACCACATCCACTGTATCCCCTCCATCTTGCCATCTCGAAACCTTGTCATAGAATTCCACAAGGTTTGTCTGGCAGGACCTGTTTTTGCGGAAGCCGTGTTGACTGTATGATTGTATCTCATACCTATTTTTTCTTCCCTACTTCTGATATCCCTTCCTGGCTACTGCCATGAGAGACAAGGCCCATCCTGCACTTCTCTTCATTCTCTCCTTGCCTTCCTCTCCTGCTCGGAGAAACAAGGCCTCCTTTTCTCTTTCCCTCTTGTGCCTCATGTGTACTCCATTTTGTGCCACTTGGCCAACTTGGCTTTTCGCAGATGTTCCTCCTGTGTGGCCTGGCTACCCACCGCATTTGGTCACTCCGAGTGCCTCCTCGGTGAGGGGCATCTCATTGAGACTTGCCCCCACTGCTAGGCATTTAAGGAGCAGACGTGCAGGCAGAGGGTCCTCAAGACCATTGATCCTGTGGAAGTCAACAAACCTCCCATCGAGGGACCCTCCAAAACAGCAAGAACCTCGAGGAAAAGACCTCGCTGGGAGAGGGGCCTTTGGGCAATGTAGCCGCCACCTCCAAAAAGAAATAGCGTCATGCTGCAAAGGATCCCACCCCTGCCCCGGTACCAGAGTCCTCACAGGATCACCCTCGAATGCCTAACCTGAGGGCCCCTCTGGACACAACCCCCACAGTCCTGGACCCAGACTCACTGGAGATGCGTTCCCTGGCAACCAGGAACCAACTGCCCCATGCCTGAGGCCTTGCTGGCCTTGCTTGCCAGAGAAGCCATTTGCCACGCCTCTACCTTGTTGGACTGGCCACAACAGCCGGCACCCACGGGTGCCACTTCATGCTCCAGGGGTTGCCTGGGATGCTTGCCCTCACCCCTGCTGGACTGGGGTGATTCGTTGTCATGATAGCTGGCCTCCTCCCGCCTCAGCCAGTTTCCCATCTTGATTCCAAAGGCCTTGCACAAGAGGAGACTGTGCCCGGCTGACTTTGACTCCACCTTCTCAGAGTCCCATGCTGTAACCCAGACCCGCCACAGGCTCCCTGCATCACACTGCTGACTCCACTGCGACTGCAACCAGGATCAAAGCCCTACCTCCTCCTCTGAGAGCCTGGCTTGCTCTGAAGACCACTGTTGCTGCCACCATCTCTCCCTAACCACCCCGCCTACATTCAGGTCACATGCGCAGGACAGCAGCTGACCACAAGAATGCGCTGAACTCTCATGGTGTAACAAGGAGCCAGGCCATGGGCATAGGGTTCTCAGCTGGGATTGCTGCACTACAGCGGCCAAGGAGCCTCCCTCCCACTGCCACCATGCCTCCCTCCACAGTGAAATTAGCCATGATGCCAGCCTGCGGGACTGGCTCCACACCACCCAACGACATTGGCTCAATGAGGATTCTGACTTGTAGGCCGCTCCTGGAGATACCTCCAAGAGGCCTCCTCACCAGCACCACAGCTCCCACTGCCCTGTTCCATCCCACCATAACACTCACTGGCTGCATGATGAGACCATCCAAGCCATAGCCATAGCCTTTGTTGTTCTCTTTCTCAGGACTCAGGTCAGAGCTGCTCTCCCAATTCGACATGCTCTCCTTCCCCAGCCTCTGTTCACTGCCCAGATGGGCAGGCCCTAGATCAGGACTTCTCTGTGTCACCTGGAAAAAGAGGTGGTTTTTCTGATGTTATCCTCCATATGGCAAAGGACCTAGGTATTCAGACCTCTCACCCCACTGAACCTGAGGCCAACCCAGTCTATGACTCCGTGGCCCCAGGGGACACTGCTGCAGTGTCCATCCCAGCCCTTCCTGCATTGCTCCGCACAGCCCAGCAGTTCTGGAAAGCACCTGGCCACCTCATGCAGGATGGACTCTGCTTATAAGGTGACCATCGAGGTATTCCCTCTCCTTCTCCAGCACTCCAAGCCTAACTCTATCATTGTGAAGTCTATGCAGGGAGCACTCCAGGGGGATCAGTCCACTACTGTGGACAAGGAGGGCCACCGCGTGGATGTTATGGCCAAAAAGGTTTATGTGGCCGCTGCCCTCGGCTTCTGGGTCTCCAACTGTGAGGCAATTATGGCCAGGTACCAGCTTTTCCTATGGGAAAACATAGGCACCATGGTGGACCAGCTTCCAGACCACCTTTGTGATGCTGTCTATCTTATTCTTTAAAAATAAATTAAAAATTACTTTTCTGTACTGTTCCTTGACCGACATCTTGGGACAGTTTACAACAGATTAATAAAATAGAATAAAAATAGAAATAAGAGTAGCAGTTGCACACCATCCGATGGTAAAATATAAGACCACTAAATAAAATAGGTTAACAAATAAAATATTGAGAGTAAAAAGGTTTTCACTTGACACCAAGGAAAAGCGTTGGCACCAGGTGAACCTCTCTGGGGACCATGTTCCACAATTGGGGCACCACTGCAGAGAAGGCCCTCCTCCAGGTCATCATCCTCCTGATCGCTTTCAAGGGTGGCTCCCAGAGGAAGGCCTCTGACTCAAATCTCAAGGGGTGGGAGGGCACATAGGGGAGAAGGTGCTCCTTCAGGTATCTAGGACCCAAGCCATTTAGGGCTTTATAGGTCATCACCAGTACCTTAAATTGGGCCCGGACTTTAATTGGCAGCCAGTGTAAGCAATAGAGGACCAACGTTATATGTGAATACCTGTCTGTCCCCATTAGTATCCTGGCAGCTCTGTTCTGAACCAATTGAAGTATCTGGACCATTTTCAAGGGCAACCCCATGTAGAGCTCATTACAATAATCCAGTTGGGAAGTGACCATAGTATGGGTCACTGTTGCAAGGCATAGCTCATCCAGGTAAGGGCACGGTTGGTAGACCAGCCAAAGCTGGAGAAAGGCACTCCTCGCCACCGCTGCCACCTGGGACTCCAGGACAGCTCCGGATCGAGGAGCACTCCCAAACTGTGCACCCTGTCCTTTAGGGGGAGTGCAGCCCCATCCAGAACAGGGCAGGTGTCACTCACCTGTAGGGCTGAACTGCCATGTCATCTTATCTGGATTGAGCCTCTTTTTATTGGCCCTCATCCAACCCATTACCCCAGCCAAGCACCGGTTCAGGATGGCCAGTGCCTCACCTGGACTAGATGTAAAAGAGAGGTAGAGCTTGGTGTCATCAATGTACTGGTGACTCCGCAGCCCAAACCTCTTG